GTACATGGCTGGCGCCTTAGCCACCTGAGCTATAGGCGCTGAGCCATACAATGCCTGTTTTAGAGATGGAGTCTTGCTCTTGCTCAGGCTGGTCTTGACCTCAAGCATTTCACCCACCTCAGCCTCCCAGAGTGCTAGGATTACAGGCTTGAACCACCAAGGCTGGCACCCTTCTTGTGCTTCCATTCACATGTCTCAGTTTTTGTTTTTGTTTTTTTGAGAGAGAGTCTCACTATGTCGCCCTTGGTAGAGTCCCTTGGCGTCACAGCTAACAGCAACCTCAAATTGTTGGGCTTAAGCAATTCTCTTGCTATAGCCTCCCAAGTAGCTGGGAGTACAAGTGTCCACCACAATGCCTGGCTATTTTTTGTTGCAGTTGTCATTGTTGTTTAGCTGGCCCAGGCAGTGTTTGAACCCCCAGTGTCGGTGTATGTGCCCAGTGCCATAATCACTGTGCTATGGATGCTAAGCTTCACAGATTTCAGTTTTGTTCTTGGATATTTCCTAAGAGCCCTTCATAGCCTGTCCTTTGCCTAAGGGTGCAGTGGGATATTTCTTGAGGAAATGGATTCCAGCTCGGACTAGTAGGTGAGGAAAGTGTTCAGGTGGCCACATTCTGGTAAATTATCTTGTCTCTGGCTTTCAAAGTAGTTCATCCTTTCTTGGCCCCAAATATCTCTGAGGTCCCTGGGAAGAACTAGCATCTAATAGAGCATGAGCGTGGTTCACTCAGGCCTCTGCTCAATATGCTTGGGTGGGGTGGATGGCAAGCACTACATGTCCCAGAAGCTCTGCTTTATTATTGGTAGGAGGATGACTGGCTAAGCAGTCCTCATCGGTTGTGCCACTGAAGGTGTTCCCCCTATGCTAAAGTTCTACATGTTCAGGACTGACAGGTGTCCTCTGATTGCTCTGCAGGAGCTGATCGACCTCAAGATGCTTCAGTGCAAGAGAATCATCAATGGTGAGTGCATCCCTGGCCCCAGGATTGTGTGTCTGCCCTGCTGGGCTCAAGCAGCACTACCACTGCCCTTGCCTGGGTGAAAGTGTCCTGCCTAGTTGTATTTTGTAATTGTGTAGATCACGTCCTTCCTTGAGAGCAGTCACTGCTTTATAGAGCCCATGGCAATGAGCCAGATGTAGTCAGCCATGGTGGCTCATGTCTGTCATCCCAGGTACTTGGGAGCCTGAGGTGGGAGAATCCCTTGAGGCCAGGAGTTTAAGACCAGCTGGTCAATGTTGTGACATCTTATTTCAAAAAAATTTGTTTTTTAAGTTAGCTTAGTGCCGTAGCTTGTGTCTGTAGTCCCAGCTACTCAGGAGACTGACAAAGGAGGCCAGAGGTTCTAAATCAGTTTGGGTGATATAGTGAGTCTTAAAAAGAAATTTAAAACAAGCTAAGAATGCTTCTCATCTGTAGGTTGTCTGGCATAGAAATTGTCATGTCTTAGTCCTATACTAGAGAGACCCTCATAGAGCCTTGGAGTTAGGATAGCGCCAGCTCTGGCCCCAGCTCAGTCTCCTGCTAGATGTGTAACTTTGAGGGAGGTCACATGATCTTTCTTTGCCTCAGTTCCATTTATTTTCTTTCTTTCTTTCTTTCTTTCTTTCTTTTTTTTTTTTTTTTTCCTGATACAGAGTCTTACCATGTCACCCTTGGGAGAGTGCTGTGGCTTCACAGTGTTGCAACCTCAAACTCTTGGGCTTAAGTGATTCTCCTGCCTCAGACTCGCAAGTAGCTGGGACTACAGGCACCTGCCGCAATGCCAGCTATTTTTTTGTTGTATTTGTCATTGTTGTTTTAGCTGGCCCAGGCCAAGTTTGAACCCGCCAGCTTCAGTGTATGTGGCCGGCACCCTACCCATTGAGTTACGGGCGCTGCCCAGTTCCATTTTCTACAAAGTGAAAATTATAATCCTAAAAGTGAAAATTCTGTAATCCTTTACTTAAATCATTGAGTTGGAGTGATCAAATAAGGTATAAAACAGGGTATATGTGTTTTACATACCTTAAGCTCTATGTAGATGTAAGTGGTCATGAAATTGTACCTTTACTTACACTTTTTTAAAGTTTGAGTTTCGGCTCTACGCCTGTAGCATAGTGGTTATGGCACTAGCCACATACACCGAGGGTGACAAGTTCAAACCCGGCCTGAGCCACCTAAACAACAATGACAACTGCAACAAAAAAATAGCCAGGCTTTGTGGTGGGTAGTCCCATCTACTTGGGAGGCTGAGGGAAGAGAAGAGAATCTCTTAAGCCCAAGAGTTTGAGGTTGCTCTGAGCTGTGACTCCACGGCACTCTACCAAGGGCAACATAGTGAGACTCTATCTCAAAAAAAAAAAAAAAAAGAATGCTTATGGTTTTTTCACGAGATTGAGTTTGCTTTGATTAGAATTCTAGTATAGTCGTTGATGTTTTTGATATATATATATTTGTGAAATCTTCATATAATTTCACTAGAAGTTATGACTGAATTGTACCTAATTTTTTTTTTTT